TGTGCTTTTAAAATGGTAGGTATGAAGCTAAATTTGTCAATAAAGTCGTTGAGGAGATTTCAGTTCAAGTACTCAACAACACATATTTGGATGGGCCAGCATACCCAGTTGGAATAATGCCTTGTGCAACAGATGTCAATAAGCTTTTAAGTGTTGATGGAAACGGTCATTGCATGGTTGGTATATGGGGGAGTCCTGGAATAGGCAAGACAACAATTGCTAAAGCTGTTTATAATTCAATTGCAAACAAGTTTGAAGGTAGCTGTTTCCTGGCAGATGTTAGAGATAAATCAATGTATGGAGGACTAATCAAATTACAAGAGGCTCTTCTTTGTCAAGTCCTAGGAAGCATAAACTTCCAATTGTTCAGTCTTGATAAAGGAATCAATGTTATCAAGAACCGGCTGAGCCGTAAGAGGATTCTCTTAATTCTTGACGATGTGAATCAGTTGGATCAGTTAGAAAAGTTAGCTGGAACTGGTTGGTTTGGTGAGGGAAGTAGAGTTATTGTAACAACAAGAGATAGGGGATTGCTAGCTCGTCATGGAATTGAGTTAATATATGAGGTCAAAAAATTAGCTCATCGAGATGCACTTGAGCTTTTCAGTATGATTTGCTTCAAAAGAAAGGAGCCTCAAGGTGATTATTTGGCACTTGCAAGGCGTGCAATAGCCTATGCTCAACACCTTCCATTAGCTCTGACAATTTTAGGTTCACATCTACGTAATCAAAAATTAGAGTATTGGCATGCTACATTAGGAAGTTATGAAGCTGATCCTTACTTAGATATTCAGAAAATACTTAGAACGAGTTATGATGGATTGAATTATCATGTGCAACAAGTTTTTCTGGACATTGCATGTTTTTTCAAGGGTGAAGATGTGGACTATGTGATACAAGTACTTAAAGGCCCTAAGCTTAACTTTCCTGAGAATTGTATTCGGGTGCTCGTAGAGAATGCCATCATAACTCTTGAATGCAATATGATTTTGATGCACGACTTACTTGAACAAATGGGTAAGAATATTGTTCATGAAGAATCTCCCAATGAGCCGGGAAAACGTAGTAGATTGTGGTTTCATGAGGATGTGCGCGAGGTTCTAGCTGACAATTCTGTAAGTAGAATACACATATGTATCCACACATATTCTTATATTCAGTTGAGAAAAGGCTTCAAGTAACTTATATTTTTCTTATCAAATCTCCTAGAAAGTAAAATTCGAAACAGTACTCATATTTTTATTTGATAAAAGGGCTTGGTTGGTTAATAATATTGCTTTTCAATACTACGTACAGGGGACAAATACACTTAAAGGCATCATAGTAAATTTGCCCAAACCCGATGAGATACCTTTGAATGCAAAATGCTTCTCAGCCATGAAGAACCTTGAATTTTTTATAAACCATAATGCAAGCCTTTCTGGAGATACCGTTGATTATTTCTCCAACAAGTTGAGAGTGATTCACTGGGGCAACTGTCAGTTGCAATATTTGCCATCCAGTTTCCAACCAAAGGATCTTGTCCTATTCAGTATGCCTTGCAGTCGTATCAAACAACTTGGAGACGGGTGTAAGGTACTTTGAAGTTTTTTTTTCATCCATTATCATTTCAAAGAGTTTTTATTATTTATTTATTTTGGAACCTTATCATTTGATTATTTCCTTTTTGTTTTTTGGTCTCACAGAATCTGGCCAAGCTGATGTCCCTAAATTTAACGGACTGTAAATTCCTAGCAAAAATCCCTGACTTGTCTGGAATGGAAAACTTAAAATACTTGACCCTTAGTGGTTGTAAGAGTTTAATTGAGGTCGATTCTTCTATAGGATTTCTTGATAAACTTGCTACATTGGACCTCTCAAGATGCTCCAACCTTGTCAATTTTCCACCAATGATTAGGTTGAAATCTCTAGAGATGTTGATTCTTAGCGGTTGCAAAAGGCTTGAGAATTTCCCAGAAATTGTAGACAAGATGGATTCCCTTAGGGAATTGGAAATCCAAGAAAGTGGCATAAGAGAATTACCTTCATCAATTGCATATCTCAGTGGACTCGAAAGTTTATGGGCATATGGTTGTGAATCCCTTACAAATATATCATCTAGTGTTTATGGTCTTCAAAATTTGAGTGATATTGATCTCAGAGAGTGCCCAAAACTCGGCACATTTCAAAACATGATAAACTCGGAAATTTCGTCCTCATCTGGATCAATGCCACTTTCAGCTAACTCAAATATTTCACAAGACAAGTGTAATCTCTCCAAAAGTGGTCCCTTCCTGAGTCTTAATCTTTCGGGAAACAATTTTGTTGCCCTTCCTGTGTGCATAAGCAAATTGGTCAATTTGGATAGAGTTTACTTGTTTGGTTGCAAGCTGCTTCGAGAAATTCCAGAAGCGCTTCCAGAAAAACTGAATGACCTCAACCTTGCCGATTGCAAATCATTGGAAAAATTTTCAAAGCTGCCAAGTATATTCGAACATAATGAGTTACCGGAGCTTCAGGGTCTAGACTTGACTAATTGCCAAAGACTATGCGCGGACAAGGGTGATTATTACCTGGCAAAGCTGGAAATTTTTTTCAAAATCAGGTTGCTCTCTCTCTCTCTCTCTCTCTATATATATATATATATATATATATATATTAATATTGTTAAGTTTAATGCCTATATTCTTATCAAATCAAGATTCTTAACTACAAAAATGCAGCAGGAATCTCAAGCGCTCTCGTTTCGAAATTGTACTTCCTGGCAATGAAGTCCCCGATTGGTTCAGTTGTTGTGTAGTGCATGAACCTGTTTTAGAGTTCCCCTCTTCCCGGTTTATTAAAATTCCTTGGAACTTGGTGTGGGAGAAGGCAGGATTGGTCGTGTGTGTTGTTTTCGAGTATACCAAAAGGGATGACAGATTTACGGAGAGTGGGGAATATCGTTTGATGTGCGATGTGCACTTTAGGATCAATGGAAGACTTGTGGAATCATTTCCCCATGGTCATTATTTGACAATGACGGAGTCCACTCATGTGTGGTTCACTTACACTCCGTGGAATATATCCTGGGGACAGCCGGATGGAGGGAGCTGCTGTGAAGTAACATTCACATTTGATTGGGTTGGGAGGTCCAAATGCGTCAAATTCCTGAGTTGTGGGGTCCACCTACTATACCCTCAGGATGGTGATGGTAATGGTGATGATACTCAAGTGGATGATCATGAACCCTCAGCTGTCATGACGGTTGATGATGATTGTGGTGAGGACAATGATAATACCAACGTCAATACTGAGCTTTCCTTGTCTTTTGGACGAACAAGTCCTCGAAAGAGGCCTCATGGAGCAGTGACTACTACTAACGACAACGTTGATGATCAAGAGCAACGGCATTCTTTGCCTTTGGATCAACCCGGGAATAATCTTCGGAAGCGGAGGCATATTGATTTTGATATTGCATCCACTTCACACCCCAACCTATGATTTATTTACATGGGTACGTAATTTACTTTCAGCCAAATTAAATACTTGTCTTTCTCAACACAAGTTTTCACTTTATTTATTTATTTTTTGGGTGTTGTTTTAGGCCACTTCTTATAAACTGGCATTCTCAAGCTCGTGTTGCTTTTTGGATTAGCTGAATGTGCGTTGCAGTATTCGGCAATATACTCCTAGTTTCCAAAATTAATTGGAGGAATAACTTTCTCTTGGATTGAAGGATAAACATCTTGAGTTGAGCTTGTAAATAATAAGACATCCTTTGTGAAGAGTAGCGTTGTTTGTTGACTTTTAGCTTCAAATAATATATGTTGCAAAGGTACCTAATTATTGAAGTATTGGGAACCGATGCATATGATATAGTCATACGCTTCGGATATTATCCGGTGCTAAAGATTATTTACGACTTAGCTATTTACATAATCGCCAATGCTTAAGTTGTTAACATGTGCCAAAAGAGCGTTGACCTCAGATGCCTGCCTTGCATCCCCATATTTTCAAATGTTTCAAGCTTGGTTTTCTCTTATTCCAAACTCCATAAGGGATATTGTTGATACTCTTGGTTGGTACTCAATTGAGTATGTAATTTGTTGTTTTCAAAGCTTCTGCCCACAGAAAAATTGGTAAGTTTGTGCAACACATCATGCTTCTTATCATATCTTTTAGAGTTATGTTTCTCCTTTCTGCAATTCCATTTTGCTGTGGAGTCCCTGGATTAGTGTATTGAGCAATGATTCCTTCTTGATGTAGAAATCTTGCAAAAGGACCAGGATTCCTCCTAGTCTCATCGAATCTCCCATAAAACTCCCCTCCACTGTCAGACCTTACAACTTTTATCTTTTAGTCTAGTTGGTTTTCCACTTCAGTTTATAAATTTTGAACATATCCAAAGCATTTGATTTTTCTTTGATCAGTTAAACATGTCCAAATCTCGGGTAGTCATCTGTAAAAGTGATGAAATAGTTAAACCCTTAGTGAGTTGGAGTTGGGAATGGTCCACATATGTTTGCACGGATTAATTCCAATACACTTTGACTTCCCACAGCACCTTTCTTTCTTAGGTTGGTCAATTTTTCCTTTGTGCATTCTATACATATATCATCTGCATTATCATGATTCAATGGTGGTAGAACTAATTTTTTGCATAGTGTATTGATTAATTCTTTCCTTTGAAATATGTCCAAGTCTCTTATACTACAGTTTAAATGATAATTCTTTGCATGGTTTGGATTGAACTGAGTTGATTTGCATAGTTTCTTTGCAGTTTAATCGAAACATACCATCCACAATACTTCCTTTTTCCAATTAAACTTTTATTTCTGAAAATAGAACAACCAAAATCATCAAAGTTCAAAGTGAACTTTGACTTTACAAGCCTAGTAACTGAGATGAGATTCTTCCTCATTGAGGGAACATAAACCACACCTTCTAAATCAAAGACAAAACCACAATCTAGCTCAATCCTAACTACTCCAATATTATCTACTTGCACTTTTTCTCCAGTACTTATGAACACCTTCACTTCATCCTTGCTTGGCAGCCTCCTCTTCATGAACCCCCTGCAAAGAATTAGTCACATGAATAGATGCACCACTGTCTACCATGAATCATTAGTAAAATCAACTAAATTAGATTCAAAGCAAACCAAAACTTGATCACTTTTACCTTTAGTTTTCTGTTTGTCCAACTATTTCTTATACCTTTTGCATTCCTTTTTCATATGTCCAGTTTTCTTACAGAAGAAGCATTTCAATCCCATTGGTTTCAGATCTTTTGAACTGTTATTTTCCTTTTCCTTTTCTTTCTCTTTTCCAGCAGCAGTGTCTTTGTTCCTATATTCCTTATTTTTCTTTGACTGCACCAGATTCACCATTTTGGTACCTCTTTCTCTTATTATATTGTGTTCTTATTGAACGCATATGGTGATAAGATCATTCAATGTCCAGCTTTCCTTTTGAGCAATGTAGGTATCTTCGAGCGACGTAAACTCCTTAGGCAGCGAATTCAAAGCAAGATGAACCATCATATCTTCATCTACATTCAATTCCAAATCCTGCAACTTAGTTCCAATGTCAATCAGATTCATGATATGAGCTCTCACACATCCTTGTCCATCATATCTCATATTAATCAACTGATTTATTATAAGGTACTTTTGACAGCTTTCTCAGACTCCTTAAATCTCTGTGCAATAGCTTCATAATATTGTTCAGCATTCTCAAATTTGGGGATGCTACCTCTCACAGATGATGCCATTGACCTTTGCATAATCAACATACTCATATGATTAGCCTTTCCCCACTTGGCATATTTGGTTCTCAATGCTGCAGAAACATCTGCAGCTGGTTCTTGACCTCTAAGCACATAGTCATAATCAAGAAAACCTAAAGAAATCTCTAGATCTTGCTTCCATTTTTGGTAGTTCGATCCAGTCAGTGTTTCAATGTATTGATAGTTTGAAGGATTCACTGTAAACATATAACAAATAATAAATAACTGTCCCCACTAAACTTTACTTAAACATTATCAATTCACGTACACCTGTGGGTTGTGATTTGAACATGTTCCTAAATACTGGATTTTGAGTTTGAATAAACTTCCTACACAAGTAGAACTTCTCATTTGTGGATTGAGAAGTCTTCTTGTTAGTATGTTCAGTCCCTTCATCCATATTGTACCATCACATCTATTATCAATATGTGTACTTACTATTTGTGGATAGAAGTAATCACAAAAGGCTACCAGTTGTGATGCAAGTATAGATCAATCTTTCGATTGAAAATTACTCTTGCAACAATTAAGCAGCTGTGGCTTACTTAATTTACGAAATAATAATTCACAGTCTTTGACCAATATCCTTTCAAGCATGATCGAGCAAATATTCTTGATGCCCTTGATCATACCTTATCACATAAGATATGCAATTGGTTAAAGTCTACATGCTTCATGACTAATGATCAAAATTTTATTTTAGTAGCGATCTTTTATAAATCAGTAGGATAGATTAGAGAGCAAGACCTAGTGCTCTAATACCACATGTAAGTTCTGTCATGTCTTTGAGTCTCAAATAGATCAATCATTGTGAATAAGGATCTTCTTCTCCTACTCAGCACTTTATCTCTATCTCTGGATGGGGTGAGTTTTCTGTTATGAGTGTGTTTTTTCCAATAGGGAAGGGACCTTATTTATAAGCATCTGTTCCAGTATCTTACCCATCAAGGAGTACTCAAACAGATACTGTTTGCTTAGGAATAGGATGTTTTAGTCCATATAGAACTAGGAATTCTTAAGATACTCTTATCTCAATGTAAACTCACTATTTGATTGAGTATCCTACTAGCATTAGGATTAATACTTCCTGATCAATTAAAGGTCCTCCAAACCAGATATGAAGAAGACCACAATTTAGACTAAGACACAGATTTGTCTTACAACTTGTCCTTTGATTGATTTGTGATCCTCTTAATATATACGTAGGAATATCTACTTGGCTTGAAAGCTTTGTAATCCTCTAAAAACTTTTCGATTTTTAATCGATTCTCTTTTTCCTTTTGATCAGCACTATAGATACCATGCACTACAATGACCAATACTAAAAAATGGGTGAACCCAGCATTGCACCTGCAAGTAAATACAATCCATGAGCAAACACATATCTTCCAATATCTTCTAGACTAGACATGTAACTGTAGGGGACTTTTTCTTTCTGTAGCTACAATGGGCTGGGCTACCGTAAAGGGCAGACTGAGAAGACTGTCCCCTTTGTTCGGGTTCGAAAATTAAACCCCAAGAATACTTCGAAAGGGCAACAAAGCCTTAGGAAATATTTTGGCTATCTTCACCAACCTGAATAATGGTAACTTAGAGATGGTTTTGGCATGCTTACAGATAATCCTTTTAGCTCAGCGTGAGTGGCATGTGGCATAGGAGCAAAATCAACATGAGTTTAGCACTAAGAGAGAATTTAGGCTTGCTTTATGAGAAAAGAAAGTATTAAGGTAAGGAAGGAGATGTTTTGTGAGGGATTTGGCTAGGAAAGGGAGAGTTCTTTTGGCAGCTGCTAGAAGAACAAAATGGAGAAGGAGATGAACAGTGCACGAGGTTGCTAGGTTTTTGCAAGTTAGAGAAAAGGTCTGCTCTCTGAATCTGACTTGCCATCGTTAGGTAGGAGAAGCCCACAATTTATAGCCGCTAGAAACCACCATTTTTCAAGAAACCCTAATGGCTTCTACCCATTTTGGCTAAGCTTTTTCCTCATTTCTCCTCTTCTTCTTTGACTTCCCTATCTTGGCAAAAATTGCCTCTGTCTATTTGCATGAATTCAGGAAATTTGGGAGCTCAATACCCCCTTTCCCGCAGCTATTCAGTGGGAACTTCCATTCTTGGCTACTATTTTTTCTTCTTTCCTTCCCCCTTCTTTGGCTAAATCTGATGAAGGAAAGGAAGTGAAAATATATGCTGGTCCAAAGGGTGCTTCTGATAGCCTGCAGGCTAGTATTCCTTGGTTCTTTGAGCGTCTCTGGCTTGGAACTTGCTCCCTGCATGTGATGGAACCTCCCAGCAGCTTTGCTCAATGAATCTGCCAACCTTCCTCACGTGGCTTCTATTTTTTCAAAAGGGCTGAGGCTTTTGTGGGTTATTTTTGGAGTTTTATATGGGCCAAGGTGGTTCCCTAAGCAAATGGGCTTTTTGTTAAACATTGGTCTTTTTGTTTGTATTAATAGGCTAATTTGCTTGGGCTATTGGGCTATTTTCTCTCTTAAGCTTACCATATGTTTGGGCCTAAGAAATGGGCTTGAGTCTCAAGGCTCCCAAGCAACCCGAGACTTTCCATTTCCCGGCACATTAATGGGTCTCATGTTGATTTATTACCGTCCATACCACAACCCACTCAAGCAAGCCCCGGTGTTTGAGTGGCTTGGGCCCACTTAGGCTTGTAGCGTGGTTGGGTGTAAGATAACGATTTCGTGCTTGGCATGGCATGTCGCTTGGCATGTTTTAATTTATCGTCCTGCGATGTTTAATTTTGGCATGGGCTTGTAGACCCGGTATATTTTATCTCAACCCTTAGCGAATTTATTTATTTAGCATGGCACATGAACTATAATTCGCATGTGATGGATTTTTGTGTACTCTTCTTTACGCTTTTTCTTAATGGACTGTCGTTTCGGGCTGATAATTTATTCGGGCTCAATCATGAATTTTTTGGATCTCAACAGTAACAAAGCAAAAGAAAAGACTGGTCTTAGAGCTCGTTTGGGAGTGCTTTTGGAGCAGTGAAAAGCGCTTCTAAATGGGTGAAAGTGCTTCTGTCTTTTGAAAATGGTGTTTGGCAAAAATTGCAAAAGAGCTTTGGGTGAGATCCAAAAGCACCTTGAGTGGTTTTGGAGGAAGCACTTGAGAGGTGCTGCTTCTTAAAAGTGTTGCAGGACAAAAACACGGGAAGCACTTAGCTCCTTTTAATGAAACTTTTAAAATGCCAAAAATACCCTCTCTTTTTTTTTTAAATGCCAAAATAGCATTTCTTTCTTTTTCTTCTGGCACGTTCTATTGAAATAGGATTAAGGATTTAAAAAATAAAACTGAGACGGTCGAAAACCCACCACGACCCTCAAACTTGGAATGCATTTCCTTCATCCCTCACCCATGTTTCGTAGAGTAAGAATCCTCTTCTACTCACTGCATAATAGTAAGGGGGCAAACAGACTCAGCATCACCAATTGTAGAAAATGGAAGAGGATCCACTCTTCCATTGATCGATTATACTAATTCAGTTCTGTATTTTGTACAAAAGGTTTGAGGTTTTCTTTTGTTTTTCTAGGTTCGTTTCTTCCTTTGTGATGTCGAAAATTGAGAAGTAAATCATATGGTTTGTTGTCACATCTCAAATCGGCTGCGTTGTAGCACGATATTGTCTGCTTTGGGCCCCTTGCCTTTACGGTTTTGTTTCTAGGAACTCACGAGAAACCTCCTAGTGGGCTACCCATCCTAGGATTGCTCTAGCCTATCTCGCTTAACTTCAGAGTTCCCATGACTTCGAAGCCAATGAGCTCCCAAAAGGCCTCATGCTAAATGAAGGTGGGCACAAATGTACATATAAAGCACATCACCCCCTCTCCATTGGTCGATGTAGGATGTTACAATCCACCATCCTTAGGAGCCTAACGTCCTTGTCGGCACACTCACACCACACAGCAGAGTGGCTTACCATTTTGTCACATCCCGGATTAGCTGCGCCGTAGCACGATATTATCCGCTTTGGGCCCCTTGCCCTCACAGTTTTGTTTCTGGAAACTCATGAGCAACTTCCTAGTGGGTCACCCATCCTGGGATTGCTCTAGCTCAAACTCGCTTAACTTCGGAGTTCCCATGACTCCGAAGCCAGTGAGCTCCCAAAAGGCCTCGTGCTAGATGGAGGTGGGCATGTACATAAAAGGCACATCACCCATTCTACGTTGGTCGATGTGGAATGTTACATCGTTGTCACAAGGAGGAAGATCAAAGGAAAAGAACTTGGGCAATCAATATAGGAACCACAAGTCTGCTCATCAATATGGTAGTTCATGTCTTTGTGTGGCTGATTTTCTCTTTGCATGCGTATATTTTATTTCAGAAATTTGGTATAAAATTATGGTATGATTTTGTGTGCTCATTTATTTATTTATTTATTTATTTTGGTCGATTTATAGTATTTGCAAGATGTTGCAGTGTATGCGAGAGTCAAGAAGAGGCTGTGAGCATGACGAGATTCTTGGCAGGCTAGAAAAGGTTGAAAATGGTTTTTCTTTTTCTTCCTATTTTTGTAACTCTAATATTATGTTTTTGGTGGACATCTATTTAAATACAATTCTGAAAAAATATTTATGAAACAAATATTGCATAGGGGCAATTGATGGTACACAAATCCTAGTAATCGTGCTTAGAGAAAGACAAGTACCATATATTGGAAGAAAACATATCACTACCCGAAATGTTTATTACAATATTTTTAAAGTACTTTTGAATTTGGGATTCTTTAGGTGAAATTACATGTAGAATAACTAAGAATGCCTAGACGGGGGCTGAATAGGCCAATTTAAAATTATAATAAATAAATAAAATAGACTTCAGTAACATGATTGATATATCAATCTTGAAACATGTTGAGCATAAAATAAAGGAACATGCAACGAATTATTCTATGTGTAACGACTTGGTCCAAAATAAATTGGTAATTATTAATTTATTAAGATAAAATACCATTTTGCCCCTAGAATATTTTATTAGGTTTAAAGTCGACTTTTTGACCCGGAAGGAATTTGGGAATTTCGACTGTACTGTTGCGTAGAGCAAGGCAAGATGAGTCCGTAGACACATAGTGTGGCCGAATTGGAGTTGTAACGAAAAAGATATTATCAAAATACCCTCAATGGCATAATCGTAATTTTTGTGAAAAGGGTTTGATAAAATCTGATTCTCTCTCTCTCTCTCTCTCTCTCTCTCTCTCTCTCTCTCTCTCTCCGTGCGCAGCCTCTCCCTCTCCTTGTGACAACAACCACAGCTGGCCAGCTTTTGGCCAACGATTCTCTCATCCGACCACCAAAGTTAAAGGGGCTGGTACCAAAATGACCGGGCCACCATCCTCTTCCAACCCCAGCCAAGCCCCGCTGCCAGCCGCCGTGATTTCGCCGAAAAATCAAATAGAAACGGCCGATTTTTCACTCGAATTTCTCCGACTTTGCTCTCCGTCATCCGGCCACCAATTCCGGCGAGTGATGTATGTTTTCTCACCTATTTTTCATGATCCAGCTGATGGTTGGGTAGGTTTTCATCAATTCTGAGCCTAGGTAGCTTGATTTTCAAATTGAATTTCGGCCAGTTTTGGGATTGTGATTTTGGCCACTTCCGGTCACTTTTTAGGGTAGGTCCAAGAACAAAAGTAGTTCCAATTACGGTGTTACACCTAGGATAGAAGTCCTAAGCCGTGATTTTGAGATTTTCCGGCAAAGCGTAATCCCTTTGGACACCCAAGCATTGTCGGCACGTGTGGCGGTGCGTGGGCACTTTAGAAAAAGGGCATTGTGCCCCGACGTAATCTTCTGGTCCTCACAAGTGCGTAGGTGTGCTCGGATTTCAATTTGGATACTGTTTTAGTCTCGAACGGATTTCACCTTTTGTGCGTTATCCGGGTTCGATAAGTTTGAACCGTTGGATAGTCTTGAATTTAATATATGTCAATTTATACATTCCTAGGATCGTGTAGGAATTCACGGATCATGGATCTGAGCCTCGGTCTTTTTTAAGTGGGTCCGGCATCGGTGTGATGTCGGAATTTCCACAGGATTCATCTCGTGTTTCAAGGAATTTGGGGCAAGTCCTGTCATTACGTGGTAAAACCCCACCTTTTCTAGAGCAGCTTGTAGACTTCCCCAAGACATCTGCTGCATCATCAAAAGAAACAACAAATTGTTTCTTCCCTTGTGGAACCCACATACCCATATTCTTCATTTTCTTCTATTTTAATTTTTTTGTTTCCATGTGGCTGACTTCTCTCTTTGGATATGCAGATTAAGGAGGTGCCTTGCCATGGGCCATATTGAGAGCTTTGAGATTCCTTTGTTTGTTGAGAAAGCAATTTGTCTTCTTGTTTCATAAACCAAAGACAAAGCTTGGTTGGGTATTTGCTTTTGCCTATTCTTCTTTTCTTGTCTCTTCGTATTTGCTTATTTTTCAGTGTCACTTCACTGAATATGTTTTCTTTTTTCAATGATAGTCCACCAAATTTGTTTCCATTTTTCAGTGATCATTTACCGAATTCGTTATTGAGTGTGTATTTAATATTGTTTTTTTTAGATATGAAGAGGACTCACAGAGGTACTTCTGAGGCTTCATCATCTCGACCTGATAGACAGCGTCCCACAGCCTCATCAAGGAGATAGAGAGCGGCTCCCCAAGATCACTTTGAGGATACGATAGAGGTTGAAGATGTAGCTCCTACTCTTGATAGTAATGTTGACACAGAGGTTGAAGATGTAGCTGCTACTCTATAGTGGGTGCATTTTTCTTTAGTCATTAAGATGACCGCATCTGTAGTAGCTACATTCTCCACCCTCGGAAGTTGTTGAAATGCATCCACACGCGCATGGTACCTCGAGTACAAATGTGTTACATCGCATTTGTCACTTTGTTCACGCCACATTCTAGAAACTGGTGGAATAGGATGATCTGGAGACAAATGAACCTACAGAACAAGAATTCATTCATATATGCACAACATATAAAACTAAACTATGTAGCGTAAACAAATAAATTCATACATGGACATAGTGATCATCGTCAACAAAACCAATGGCAATCTTACGTAGCTTGGTTTCACTTGATTGAGCTGAGAAAGGAAGAAATGTAAGGCATTAATGCATGCTTAGAAGGATTAAAACCACATTATAACATGTGGCAATAATATGCCCCATATCAGGCATGGTCATCCAACAAAAGAATGGTGCAAATCCATCACCAAAATAATTTAGTGCTCGCTCAATCTCGTTGTACCACTCCTCTCACAAGCAAGTATTACTCGAGGTCTTCTCTTTCCCTCACCTCCATAATTAGACCTTTTAATTACAATGACAATATTATTCATTTTTCCTTATGCACGAGCCCATCTAAGTAATGCATCTCTACTATTGAATATCTACACATAAAACTCATGTTATTTAAAGATAAAATTTGAAACATTAATGCCACGTTAATGCTACTAAAAAGGATTTCAGACAACAACTCAAAATAATTACCGAATAAGTTGTGAATTGATCACTATAGTCCATTACACATTTTGTTTCCACATTTTTGCCTTCAGTAGGGGCGTCACCTTGTTTTTGTTCCTTCAATGGGAGTAAGATCAAAAGACCTTGAATTAAATTTGTGGTCGACAATAAGTTACTGAATAAATAAATAAATTTCGGTTTGTTGCCACTAAAATGCAGGTAAAATTTCAATAATAAACCACTGAACAACGTTCCATGTTACGGTGGATCTCCACCGCATATTAAGTTCATGACCAGTCAAATACAACTGAAATAGGTGCAACTTTTCAATGGCATCCCACTGAATTTACCTATCGTGTTTGGTACTGATGTGCTGAATGCAACCAACAACCATCATGAAATACTAAACTTGCAAAATGCCAAAGAATAAACTCATACCTCATTCGAAGCCTCTCTCACTTCAATCTCACTCTTCATGAATAAATACAATATATTTTTTCACCAATATAAATGTATAAATCTCGTTAGAGTTGTAGGAACATGATCATTTGGAAAAAAAAACAAAAAAAATTCAAACTAGGGTTGCAGGTACTATGTGGGGTGCAGTGAGCAATTTTAATTTTAATTTTAAATTTTTTTGTCCTGAATGGTAATTATGTACAAGGGTAGAATAGGCTATTCATGTTTAAAATTAATATGAGGTAGAGCAAATAATGGGGTGCCAATAAAATCTCCCTTTTAATTTACTTGAGTAGGCAAAAAGCAGTTACCAATTTCTTAAATTGAATTTGATGCCAAAGTAAGGTTGTTCTATTTAAATCCCCATGTCGATTTTCCAACTTTGTTCACCTCTTAGTGTCCGTTTGGCATTGCTTATTTGGGGTTATAAGTAATTCTTAAAAAATATTGAGAAGCCCAGCCCGTTTGGTAAATTATGATAAAATCACTATTTTAAAAAATTGCTGTGAGAGAAAGCTATAAGGAAAAACAGCTAATGAGGTGTTTTCATTTTCTGATTATACGGGAATCAGTTTCAAAGAAACGCTAGATTATGATTATATGGGAATCAATACCAACAACACTCTTAACAAAAAGTTTACTAAAAATCAAACTGTTTTCTCCCACAGCAAATCTAAATCTAACTGCGATTATTTTTACAGCAGGCTGAAACTTCAATGGCTCTGGACAAGACTCCATTCGAAACCATAACCCCATCTCGTTTCATCACCTTCACTTTTCCCAACCCCTCCATCTCACCCACCCTCCTCCACGTCGCCGTCCTCGACACACCTTTTCAACTCACCAGCTCACCCCCAGTCGCCGCCATGCTCGTCCCCAAACAACGGTAGTCCGACTGGATCTTCTCCACCGAGTCCGGTCACCTCCAGCTCCTGCTCAGTTCTCCCAGGATCTCCCGCCTAATCCTCACTGGCAACCAGCCCATTAACGGTCACGGTTCACCGGTAATTTACCACCGTCCGGCTAGAAACGACTCGTCGTGTGATGGCGAACTCGGGGTGAGTTTGAGACCTCTTTTCCTTGCTTTATCTCCTAAGTCTTGCTTCAAACATGGCACTCTTGAGATACCCATTTTGAGTTATGAGGATAATGTGATTAGTAGTGTGGTTTTGGAGAGGTGTGTTGGGTCTTTGGTTGGTGAAATGGTGGTGGAAGATGTGGAGATTGAGAGTGGTGGTGAGGCTTCAAAGAGGGAGTTCAGGAGGCGTTTGAGGTTTAAAAGAGTGCCCAATTTGGTTCAAACGGAGGTACGTATTGTTCCCAACACGGGTTTTGGCTTTGATTATGTGGAAATCGGAGAAGTAGAGTTTAGGCTGGATAATAGTATTTTAGTGCACCCTTATTTGGTTCCTATGTTGGCAAGTCTTCAGTTGATTGCTTCTTATATTGAGGGACGGATTCCAAGTGGGTTTAGGCCGAAAGCTTTGTGTTTAGGAGTTGGAGGTGGAGCTTTGCTTGGATTTTTAAAAGCCGAACTGGGATTTCAGGTTGTGGGTGTGGAGGCGGACAAGGAAGTTTTAAGAGTTGCTACGAAGTATTTTGGACTGGAAGATGGTGGTGAGCATGTCAATGTTTGCGTTGGAGATGCAATAAAAGTTATTGAGAAACTTGCGGGTCGAGGTAATGGACAAAGTTCGGGTTCTTTTGGTGCTCATGAGATAGAAGGTGGTTGTGGGATGGGTGATGGCAATGACATTGATACTAAATTTGATGTAGTGCTAGTTGATTTAGATTCAAGTGATGCTGGAGATGGTATAATTGCTCTGCCATTTGAGTTTGTTAGGAAGCATGTCCTTTTGGCTGCCAGATCAGTTCTTTGTGATAATGGGATCCTCGTATAAATGTTATCCTCCAAATAGATCATTTTACACAACATTGATACAGGAGTTCAGAGAAGTTTTCCACGAGTTATATGAAATCAATGTTGGAAATGGGGAAAAATTTATTCTTATTGCTCGTGTCCCCTGTTACATCTTCTACTAGTGATTGTGAGAAGTGCTTCCTTAATAAACTAAGAATGATTATATCAGGAGCATACATGAATTCCATAAAGAAGATCTGAGATGGGGTGCAAAGAGAAGGTGCGATAATCAACCCCTTGGGATCCAACTGTTTTTTATCACCCCGCTTCTGGATGGATTGGGAGAGGGAATACGAATGTAAGATAGCATTGTCTTCTCAATTTTATACCTATTTGTTTTATCACAAACCAATTAGAATTATGATAAGAATAATAAAATAACTTTTCTAGGATAGCTTGCATCTGAACTTTCCACTGTACCAAACAACTCAAGGGATGAAGAATCCCCACCATACCTGCGTACTGTTCATCCTTCCACTTTCCATTCCCCTCATTTAGCATAGTGTAAAGGTCTATGGGTCGGGGAAGTTTAATTGTGGGCCCTCGTATCCAGAATTTAGGTAAGCTTTAATGGTAGTTTGGAAATTATGGTCCTCTTATGGGTACTAGGCTGAAAGGGGAAAAAAAACTATATTTACATGATTCAAGTAAACTTGTAATTTCAGTCATGGATTTTATTCTTTAATAGGAAGACTGGCTTCTGAAACTGTAGATTGAAATTAACTTATCTAGTTAATGTAGAAGTATCTTCTGCTTGCTGTTGCTTTAAGAGTAATTGTGATGATAATTATGTACCGTAATAGTGATTCAGATATTAGCGGAAATCTGATCTTTCAATCTTTTTCAGGTAAGAGGTAGATTGGGATAGCATGCTGGAGAGGGGTTTTGCAGAAATGGCAAAGAGTTTAGTGGTGGTGAGGCTGCCACGAAAACTTGGGCAACACCACAGTTGGTGGCATCGAATGTGGATGTCGTCCTGGCAAAGAGTTGGATTAAGGAAAATAACCTCAACTGGACTTGTTTTCTCCTTGTCTAGTGATTACAAGGTAAATGAAATGAACTGTTTCTCTCTTTTATCTTTGTTATATTTTACTCCAGTGACACTGGTAGTGGTGAGGGAACTCTTTGAATTTAGTTTTCATCTAAATCAATTGATTTACTGCAAGTTCCACGTTTCTACAGGAATGGTTCACATATGATCTTAACATCATTTCTGTGCAAAGCCTGATGGTCATAAAATAGTTTGGGTATTATGTCTTAGGAGGTCTTGCTACTTAGAGGTTTATTGGTGATTTCAAAGATTTCCATACATAATCAGAAGTTTAGATATACATACATTGAATTTGTGCCTTTTTTTTTCTTTTAAAAGGGAATTCTGGAAGTCTGGTACTCTGCATTGATAAGTGACTTCATCAATGTCATTACAATGTAGAAAGTAAGGCCAACTAAATTTTAAAGGTTGAATGACTTCGATTGATAGCTCGCGGCTATTTAAGTTCAGAAATTTTGGTAGCCAGTCAACTCAGTTTTCCAATAATTGGCTTAAGATTTTTTTGTTAATAGCATATCCAAAATTAGTAAAGTTCCAACTTACAACAGTCTTAGAGATGGTTTAGTTCAGCTAATGTTGGTAGCCAATTAGATGAAGAAAGAATGGAAATTCAGGAGATACTTGGCTACACGAGTGTATTAAAATAAAGTGGTTTGGACATTTCCTCTATAATTTTCTGATTTGCTGCAACAGTTAAATAAAGACCTCCTTTTGTTAACAGTGACATTTCAGTTCCTTGATGTTGTAGTTTCTCAGAGCTTGTTCCCATGTGCGACACAAGGTCTATGTCTTGCTGTATACTCACCTTAATCCTTAAATAATAATGTAGTTTCTTTCAGTGTTTTCTCGATCAGTAATTTTTAGTCTTGCTTTCTCCAGTCTCCCAGCGTGGAAGGGTAACCAGGGAAACTCTCTGTCATTCAATGGGAAAACTTGGATCGATAGTGATGGTACCACTTTGCAGGTTCACTAGTTGAACCCAGTTGGAGATCATAACTTGGTCAGAAGCCCTTGAACCATTCAACTTACATATTGAAGCAAAGGATAAGAGGCAAACCCATGCAAGGTAGAAAACTGTGATATAAGACTTGGACGAAAATTCACTGGTTGCCTTTCTAGTTAGTTATTTATTTGCTCATATCAATTAGTGCAACCGGCATCTTAAAACCGATTTCTTGCTTTCTAGAAAGTTGCTGATGTTTCATCCTTCCAACCCCACTACCTCCCAACATTATTTCTGTCAACATGTAACAACTAACAACTAAAAATCAAATACTGTAAGAAAAAAGTTCACAAAACTGGTCTAATTTAAAATGGGAAGCTTGGAACCTTGAAAATTTCAAGGATCATGATCATGATGAAGAAAGCTTCATACCTCGATTGGGCAGTATGTAAGTTTAAATCATGTCGTGCCTCAGTTCGTTCTCTGTCATGATTTTAGGACAACTATTCATTCTTTATCTGGTCCACAGCAATATTCAATGAGAGCATATGCTGGAGGCATATGGGATGCCGAGTATTGGGCTAGTGCCAAAGCACATGCTTCAGTCAGAAACACACTGAGCACTACATACATGCTCGGGACCATAAGAGCATCCCTATCACTAAGTTTATGTTAGGTTCATAGGTTCATAGGTTCATAGGAGCACTCCTATTACTCAATGTAGTGCTAGGGTCATAGGAACACCTCGTTCACAAAACTGTTCTCAAACATGAATACAATCAAATAGCACCACATGCCTTATTGTGATTGTTGTTTGTTTTTCGTTTCTAATTATCCCAGGACATTGCAGGCACGTATTGTTGAGGAAGAATAGTTACACTTCCCGTGAGTAGAAAACAGAACCAATGGAATTATGAATTTTACATACATAAGTACATAGACATATATAAGTACACATGTTACTCCAACTCAGGAATCACTTCTAACTGAATGTTAAGATTTCTTGCAGGCCTACTCGCATTTGTTTGTGTGGCACCTGTAGAGGCAAAAGGATTGGGAGGCACGGTTAGGTTTTCTCCTTTTTCCAGCATCTGAACCACAGCTTTCATTGAAGGACGATTGACTGGATACCATTGGATGCACCAGAGTCCTACAATTGCAAGTTTGTTTGGAATTTTACCATCTCCTTCTTCACCCATATGGATTCGTAGGTCATCTCCCTCTTCTAGAAGATTATAAATCCATTCAGGGTAGTAAATTTCATTTGTGTTCTCTGTGGGTGAACTGACATTCGTCCTTCCTCCTACCATCTCAAGCAGTAGCATTCCAAAACTACACACATCTGACTTATAGGACACATTTCCAAAGTTCCTGGAGAACACTTCAGGTGCAATGTAGCCCATGGTCCCCCTAGCTGTAGTCATTGACACTGTGCTTTGATCCTTGGAACATAACTTCGCCAAACCAAAGTCCGATATCTTTGGAGTGAAGTTGTGGTCTAGCAAAACATTACAAGGTTTGATATCAAAATGGAGAATTCGCCGATCACATCCTTGGTGAAGATATTCAATGCCTCTGGCTATGCCTATGGCAATATCTTGCAACTTATCCCAACCACAGAACCCATTCTTGTTGCCCACTGATGAAATGTAATCTTGCAGTGAACCATTGGAGAAGAACTCATAAACAAGAGCTCTTCTAAATCCATCAGCACAGAAGCCAACCAAGCGAACCACGTTGACATGGTGGATATGGCCCATTGTTCCCACTTCATTTATGAACTCTTCCCCGTTTCCGTTAGAACTATTGAGGGCCTTCACAGCAACGAAGATTTCAGAAGAAAGCTTTCCTTTATAAACAGTTCCGTAGGCTCCTTCGCCTAACTTGTCCGTGAACTGATTTGTAATCCTCTTAATATCTGCATGGGAATATCTATACTTGGTTTGAAGACCTTGTAATCCTCTAGAAATCTTTCAATTTTTAATCGATTCTCGTTTTCCTTTATATCATAGCTATAGACCTGATAGACTGCAACAACCAGTAGTAAGAGGACGAATGAACCCAGGGTTGCACCTACAAAACAATCATTAAAAAGTAAATATATATCCCCAGTCTTCTAGACATGACAGCAAAATAATCAGTTAGGTGACTCACTGGTAGCCGCTAATTTCGTTGCTGCACCTGTAAAAGATAATGACACAAATCAGATCGTCATGTTTGTGAAATTCATTTATACATATTGCCTCCTGGGCAACATCCCCTGAATAATTGCCGGCACTTTACAAGATGTATAAAAATTTGAGCAGGAAATATGTGAAGCAAAATATGTACTATTGCCTTACTTGCTTTCTTCAAGTCAACACATTCAATTTCAACTCTGGTGCCATTGTTCTTCAGCATACACTTCTTGCCTCCTGCTTCACATTCTGTGCAATTTGGTGTAGACCATCTCAAAACACTAAGAGATCTGTCTGAATTTGAAACTGGAACTGATAAAACATTATGCATCTTTGTGCAAGACCGGAGGTTATCAATTTCGTTGTTATCATAAACGGCATAGATTTGATTGCCAAGGTTGCTGTGGCAGGGGCCATTTAGAACCTGATCATTATATGGCCGTCTTTCAAGAACAGAAGAACAATTGAATAAGGTACTGTTCATGGACTCTTTTGAAAAGTGGAAAGGGAAGATTGACATGTTGAGGATTTCTGAAACTTTTACTAGCAGGCAATTATCTGGGTCGTACAGAGAGATTTGCTGATGCTCATAATCTATGCTTTTGACAGAGAGTTTGACTGGAATTGGCAGCTCAAGAACCGTCTGATGTCTCTCATTGCAAGACACAGCAAACCCCCGATAGCCACAGTGATCTGGTTGCCTATCTTTGAAGCTGAATGGGAAATGGATAGGCGGGCCTTTATCCCCACACTTGAATTCTTTGCAGGTATTTTATGTTTCTCCAAGAACTTTGGAGAAAGCCATTAACAATATGCAACAGGAAGCGATGAGCATTTGCTGCATTTCTGAGGTGTTAAGTGTAAAAAAAAGGGTCGTAACTGTATCTGATATGTTTGGATGGATTGTTTGGCCAATAAATCTGACCTTTTTTCAACTGACCAATCAAGTTACGGTGCTATATAATATGACACTTCTAAATCTTATTGGAATGGCTTTGTTAATTATTATTCCCTATTTACTGCTATTCACATCTCCTCCCTATTTTTTATGAGAAATTATTGTATGGTACTGGAATACGGTTACATAATACTATAATTCGTTCACGTGTTATAATGTGGGTGATTGATATGATTGATATTAATCAATAAATATCCACTTATATCATAACACATAAACGAGGTACATCATGTGATTGTACTCTAATACCATACTATAATTACTTGTCGTTCTGCATCCGTATTTTATTATTTAATAACCCTAATAGATGGACTGCACTATTCACTTGGGTTCTATAAGATTGTTCATTCTTTCGACATGTAGAAACAGTATGAATGCATTTAAACCATCAAGAAGCAATTAGTCACTTTGACCAAAACAAAACAAAGTTGAAGTAACTACTTTCACATTTTGACTTGAAAAGTAGTAGAGCACTTAACTTCAAAACATTTTCTTTACGGCGAAGTCCCCATTTAAGATCTAAATAATTGAAGCAACTAATTCCACATTTTGACTTGAAAAGTAGTGGAGCACTTAACTTCAAAACGTTTTCTTTACGGCTAAGTCCCCATTTAAGATCTAAATAATTGAAGCAACTAATTCCACATTTTGACTTGAAAAGTAGTGGAGCACTTAACTTCAAAGCATTTTCTTTACAGTGAAGTCCACATTTAAGATCTAAATAATTGAAGCAACTAATTCCACATTTTGACTTGAAAAGTAGTGGATCACTTAACTTCAAAACGTTTTCTTAACGGTGAAGTCACCATTTAAGATCTAAATAATTGAAGCAACTAATTTCACATTTTGACTTGAAAAGTAGTGGAACTTAACTTCAAAACGATTTCTTTACGGCTAAGTCCCCATTTAAGATCTAAATAATTGAAGCAACTAATTCCACATTTTGACTTGAAAAGTAGTGGAGCACTTAACTTCAAAACGATTTCTTTACGGCTAAGTCCCCATTTAAGATCTAAATAATTGAAGCAACTAATTTCACATTTTGACTTGAAAAGTAGTGGAGCACTTAACTTACAAAACGTCTTCTTTACGGGGAAGTCCCCATTATTGAAGCAACTAATTCCACATTTTGACTTGAAAAGTAGTGGAGCACTTAACTTCAAAACGTTTTCTTTATGGCGAATTCCGTATTTAAGATCCAAATAATTGACGCAACTAATTCCACAATTTGACTTGAAAAGTAGTGAAGCACTTAACTTCAAAACGTTTTGATTACGGTTAAGTCCCCATTTAAGATCCAAATAATTGAATAAAGCTTCAGAGAAAATACCATCTACTTTAATGCCGGTCTTCATAGCTTGCTCTCTCAACGCTGTTTTGATTTGTTCGTCCAGATATAAATTAGTTCTAGTTTGAATGGGACCTTAAAACTATTGGACTTGTCAAACAAAAACCTAGCTAGCTAGCTCTAGCCTCTGGGATCTCCATGGAAGGTAGAAGAGCCTTGCGTGGGAGGTTTGCAATTGTAGGCTTTCTTGTTATTGGCTTAATATTTGGTGAAACTTGTAACGCCAAGGCGTGTTCTCCTTCTTCCTGCGGCAACATCCATAACATAAGCTGCCCTTTTCAGCTGAAAGATGATCTGAAAAATTGCAGCGATTTCGCCTCTGTCTTGTGAGAACTGCGTTACAGTGTTGCAACTACATTCTGCAAAATTCCACGTAAAGTCAATCAACTACAATAACAACACAATTCGAGTCGTAGATCCTGGCTTTCAGAAGGACAATTGCTCCTCCATTCCTCTCTATTCTTTGTCATCTGATTCCATAAATGCTCGATCTCCATATAGTTTTTATGACTATGAATATAGTAGCATGGACAGATGGAAATCAAGAGTTGTAACTTTCATCAAGTGTGCGAATCCAGTGAATTCATCTCTCTATGTGAACACTGCTCCATGCATGAATAGTACTACTGGGGGAGCTACTTCTTTGTCCCAACCAAGAACGTATAGCTACGTCATCGTGGGCCCAACAGCTGCATGGAATTTGGAGGAGGGGTGCAGTATAGGGTGGACGGCTATGACTTCCTTGAATGAAAAAGACCGAAACGCTTCTTATAGTCTCATACACAATGCTCTAGTGTACGGCTTTGAGCTTCAGTACAGCACAGGTATGTGAATATACACACCAAGTCTTTCTCCAACTCACTCTCGCATAGAATGAGCTCTACTTGGTTCTATAATCTTGAGGGTATTTGATTATGGATTTTAACACGGTCAACTTAATTACATATTTTTTTATTGTTAGTTAACGTTGTGGAAATCAGTAATTAGAATTATTCTAATACCCATGTACTAGTAAATAGATGGGGAAAAAAAAACTAAAGTGATTCCAATACCCATTCCTGATAGTAAAGATGATGGCCCATCCCTCTTTAGTGAAGGAGACACATGGACATGAATGTGGTGGGTGGCCCAAGATGGATTACTAAATGAGTATTCTCACTCATGCCATGTATAACTTATTTGGAATGAGTATTGGAATTTTTAAAATTTCTTGGGTTAATCGTTTTATTAGTCCCTAAACTTAAACCCAATTTGCATTTGAGTCCCTCAATTTCCAAAATCGTTCCTGTGGTCCTTTAACTTTAGTTTCGTTAGGACAAATGGTCCTACTGTCAATTTTGTTAACTTTTTCTGTTAAATGCAGGGGCAAAATGGTAGTTTTGTATTAAAACAAAAAAAAAGAATAAAAATCATATCTTTAAAATATCAATAAAAGAAAATCAAATAAAAAACCAACCAAAAAAATCAAGTTTGGGGGGTGTAGAAATCGGGATAGAGGGGGAGAGAGAGATAGTTTAATTTTAATTTTTTAATTTTTTATTCATATTTTAATCAATTTGATTCAAAAATACCATTTTACCACTGCATTTAACAAAAAAATTAACAAAATTGACGGCATGACCATTTGTCCTAACGAAATTGAAGTTGAAGGACCACGAGAACGATTTTGGAAATTCAAGGACTCAAATACAAATTGGGTCTAAGTTCAGGGACTAATACAACGATTAACCCTAATTCCTTAATTCCTAGTGTTTACAAACAAATATAAGAATTATTCAAATTCTTGACTTCTTGCATTTATCAAAGGATAAGAAATAAATAATTATATGTGGGCTCCATATTAAAATTCATGTATTGTACCCTTAAAACTAGAAATTGGATCGTCTAGGAAGAGTAATTGATTCAATTTCAATTTCGTTAGGATAAATATTTTGAACAAATAATATATTGAAATTATTACTTTAAAAGTATTTAAAAGTTGGTGATATCCAGTTGTGACTGTTAAAAAGTGTTTAAAAGTTGGTGGTATCCAAAAAGTTAATGACTTTTAAAAAACTTAGTCGATGAATGACTTTCGTATACTTTTAAGGCTAATTATTAATTTACTAGTGATTTTTATCAATTTATTTAAGAATATGTCAACTCTATGGAAGTATTTAAGAATATGTCAACTCTATGAAAGTCACTTAGTTAATTACCCAAAGTCTTTATAAGTATGGATTGAATACATCCTCCTAAATTTAAACACTTAGGATCTGTGACCTTGTACCTAAATGGACAGCAAATAATGTACCAAACTTCGAATAAAAAAACTTATTACTAGAAATTGGTACCTGCCAAAACCTTATTTTAGAATTAATTTCAATTTGGTACCCTGCAGTTGTACGTTTAGGACATTTTTGTCTTTACATTTTCAATTTTAACAATAAGATATCTCCATAGTGAAATTAGGTGATGACGTTTCATTTGTGGGTCCGCTTTTTTTAGTTTGTCTAATGAAATATGAATAAATGTTTTTCAAATTAATTAAAAATTAAGAAATAATATTAAAATATTAAAATAAAAAATACAAATAATATTAAAAGATGAAAAAAAAATTATTGATTATTAAACGACACTTGACACATTCAACCCTCAAATGAGACGCCCCCATCATTATGGAAACAGTTGTGTTTGAGCATCCAAACAACGCATTGTTTTTCCCCCTCTATATGTTGTTGAACCACTAAAAGGTGCTCCTCGCTGAAGATCGGCCATTTTTCAAATCATGGTTGCCCCTGTGCAAGCGACCTCAGTGGAACATAGTTCCCCTGACAAAGAACGTGGGGGCTCTTACATGATGTGCATGCCAAAAAACAAGAAAAGGAAGAAGAAGAAAGAAGGAAAGACATGCTCAACCGAATAAGCTATTTTTGGCACAACCGATTTTATCGCGACCAAGTGAAGTCTTTGACCAATGGGCTTTTGATAATACCAAAGGAGGCCCAAAGAGTTGCGACTTTCCGCACCTAAGGAGGACCTCAGGATGTAAAAGGCCGACCAGGCCTATTTCACTTATGATGTCGATTCCAAAAGGATGATGCATAGACCTCACCGCCCTCGGAACGCCCAGCGCCTAGGTGCTTCGTTCGATATACTAAAAATTTGGACTCGCCTACTCTACCACCATTTTCTAGACCACAATACTCAATTCTCTCACTAACGGACTAGAAACAATAGTGGAACTGCAATGGAAGACCTAGAAATAACCAAAAACACAAGACACAAGCAATAACACACAGGGAAGTCATGGCAAGTAACTCACTTAAAATACTAATGATGGAGAAATGACGCCAACAACAAGTAAGAATCGGTAGAGAAATTTAGAAGAGGTTCTCGCTTAGAAATTCAGAAGGCAGAAATGAAGTTTCTCTGCCTAAGTGTTTCTATTTATACACAAGAAGGTGGAATGGTGTACCCATTGATGAAAGTCGGACAAGTGGACACAAGGAGATTGAGGTGATTGTTGAATGCTTTAGACATCCAACTTCCGTGCCTAAAGATCCCCTCAGGATTTAAAAGGTCGCCCATACCCATTTCACTTCTGATGTCAGATCCGAAAGGATCATGCGTGGACCTCACCGCCCTCGGAGAGCCCAACGCCTAAGTGCTTCATCAGATACACTAAAAATATGTACTTGCCTACTACTCTGCCATCATTTCCTTGACCACAATACTCAATTCTCTCACCAACGAACTAGAAACAATAGTGGAAGACCTAGAAAGAACTAGAAACACAAGACACAAGTAATAACACGTATGGAAAGTCACATCAAGTAACTCACTTAAAATACTGACAACAGAGAAATGACACGAATGACAACAAGTAAGAATCGGTAGAGAAATTTAGAAGAGGTTCTAGCTTAGAAATTCAAAAGGCGGAAATGAAGTTTCTCTACCTAAGTGTTTCTATTTATACAAAAAAAGTGGAACGGTGTGCCCGTTGATGAAAGTTGGACAAGTGGACACAAGGAGACTGAGGTGATTGTTGAATGCTTCAGACATTGAAGCCTCAAATGATCCCATCATGATGAAAGCAGTTGCTCTTGCACAGCCAAACAACATATGTTTCTCCCCTCTCTATACGTGGCGAAAGTCCTCGATCAATGGGACTACTTAAGGACTTGGGGGTCTTGTGTATATACCAAATACAAAGAAGGCCTACGCAAAAGAGTCGAATAACTAGCCCCCATCATTTATGAAAGTGACAAGGCCTGAAAGGCTAGAACAAGGCACAAAGAGGCCCTTATCCATGCTTAAGGAGGCGCACATGGTAAAAAGGTTGACCATGCCCATTTCACTCATGCAGTCGATCTCGAAGGAACGACTCATGGACCATATCATCCTTGGTGCTTGAGCACTTCGGTGCTTCACCTAGACGTCCACGTGCTGCTTACTTGAAAGGACCAATTATCCCATGAATATTCCACTGAAGTTTGATTCCTCCGAAAAAGGAGACACATGTCTGCCTACAACTGACCAATCACCGAGAAGGTGCCATGTCACTAACGAACCTTCACTCCAACATCGAAACAACACAAGAAAAGAAGCCATCTTCTCAAGTACAAAATAGGCGTACTTTTCAACCTTAAAGGTAATATAAATTTCCTCCATTTTGAGTGCAGTACTTTTCATAGCTTCTTTTAAGAAAGCGCTAAGTTAGACATTGGAGGGTGGTTAATGGCTCTCTCGCCACCATTTTGTAGTGACCATTCTTTGTCTTCTTGCACTTTTTGGTAGCTGGAATCTCACCCTTACTTGGCCACTCCGAGTAACACCAAAAATACATCTTTAAACACCCAAGTCAGCTGAAGAACACTCTCAAGGGAGAATTGACTGGGGGTGTGACAGGACCCGCCCCGGAATTTCCCCTTAAACCGAGGCGGACCCCGTCTTGGTGCCAACATCACACCGATGCCGGGCCCACTTACTAAAACCCCAAGACATCCTACCAAAATTTTGGCAGAGTCTCCCCTGTAAAATGCTCAAACCCAACCACATTCAACCTGCATAATTTACATAATATAATTCCCAACTGCCAGCATGCTTTCAACATACAACAATTCAAAATAAAGTGGCCTCCGGCCTCAAGTAACAACCTAACATGGGCGATAACAGAGCATCTAACAGAATTTGATTACAACAACAGTAGAGTAGAAGGAATTTACACGAATCCTATCTACAGATGAAATGTTTGGAGCTCGCAACTTGCTTGAGCGCTTCCAAAAGCCACTACTGCCTGGGGGGCGCAAAACAGAAATATGTGAGTGGACAAAAATAAAGTTTGCATTTAAAACAACATAGTAACCCCACCATGTAAAAATAATGCTCAAGCATGCAGTTTCCACATCCATAAATCAAATACTCAAACATAAAATCTCAAAGTCCAATAACTCTCAAAAATCTCAAACCACAACTCCATTCCCACAAGTATGCAACTCTCACCAACCCATACATATGTATACATATATAAGTATATATATATCTATAATATAACGTATACTTCTCTCCATACTAATGTACCGGGGAAGACAATCCAACCGGGGGATTGTTGGCTGGTACGCAGGATTTTCGAACATGAACCCGCGTCCAGGGATGAGTAGTCCAACCGGGGGACGGAACTCCATAGCTCACACGCCGGCACTGCCAACGACACGTGTAGCTCACAAATCTCATATCAAGTCCTACGCGCGCAGACAGTATCATCACCCCACCGGCACTGCCAACGACATGTGTGATGATACTAAGCAATATACATACTCTTCCCATACACCGGCACTGCCAACGACATGTATGGGAAGTGTCTCACACACCGGCACTGCCAACGACGTGTGTGAGACCAGCAATCTCATGGCCTTCCCACCCCACCGGCACTGCCAACGACGTGTGTGGGAAGCCTAGTAACCAGGGAATGGTACTCACCTAACATACTCATACATCTCACAACC